GCAGGGTTCCCCTAAACACGCCTCCCATCCTAGAGGACTGCTTGAGGAGCACACAAGGGGCCATCGCAGCAGTCTTATAGGTCCTTAGGTGCAGAGCAGCAAATGGCCCTGCCCACGAAAAGGCTCCCACGTGTCATGTGGCTTTGTTCTGGCGGTGGCCTGGGTAGCGCCGCTGTCAGACTGTCAGAGTCTTTGCGTTTCGCCAAGTTGAGGTGTGTATTGGTGATCAGGGAGGAATGGGTGTTGCGAATTGGGCCGATTGGGCCTTGGCCTTATATACTCAGTACGGAAGCCTATAGTTGATTGCAAGTCGATCTTGGGACATCGTCATGATCATAGTCAGGTCATATTTGGCCAGAGGTCTATGTCTACGTTCTAAGCGCGCAAGAACAGGGTATGCGGTCAAAACTGCTCCACAGTAATTTAAGTACAAAAGGCATCGACAGGCAACAGTTGCGAATGCTCAGAAGCTGCAGGGCTTACTCCTGCCGGGCTCGGCGCGGATCTTCGCAGCGCCGGTGGAGGCGGAAGAGCTCCGGGAAGAGCTGGCGGGCGTCCCAGTGGGTTCACTGTGGGCTCACGGTCGGAAATTTCAAGGCAAGCACTTTCGCCCGAAAGGGCATCTTCAACGTCCGCCTAGGAGGGCTACAGTGACCTACACGGCCTTGATCTGGGTATAGTGGGCGAAGAACGCCTCGCTTCCCAGGCAGCACCGGGGTTCGAGCGGCTTCACAAGATGCCTTGAGGATCTATACAGGGCTTGAGGGCTGGTGCTTCATGAAGTCCGCAATATTCTGTTAAAGAAGATGTCCATGACCGGTTCCTTGCTTTCTCCACTTTGACATGCAGAGCTCTTTGTTCAAACTGCGTCATCTTCCGGAGCAAGCGACGTCTTAAGTTGACTTGTTGAAGATTCACATTCGGTGAGTGGGGCTGGGGGACATGAGAACCTGATCAGATCAGTTCTTGTTGCTCTTCTAGCTAACTCTCCTAAGCAAGCCTCAGACAGTGAAGGTGTACAGTTTGTGTCAACGGCTCGAAGCCTACGCGCTGAACTCATGGATGTCTTGCGCTAATTACATAGAGGGTCGTAATTACGTTGTAACCCAAATTTCAGTTCCACAGCCTCCAAGCTTTCTTTGAGCCCTGCAGATGGCGGAGCCCCAAGTGGAAACAGTGGAGCCGAGGCACAGATGGAACACAATGGAGCACTCATGCATGCGCATGCTTCAAGAGAAGTAGAGCAGAGACATAATCTTAAAAGTCTTAAAACGCTACTTAGGCCTAAGCCCGGAGCCCTTTGTCCTAGACCTTGCCTTGGGCTGTGGGTCAAGGGCAGTGCGAGCTTCGGGCTCCTGGACGTGGTTGTAATCCTTATAGGTTCTCCAACAAGCTAACCTCAGCTTACAACACGACTCGAAGGTTCAGGAGTTCAGAGTTTTCAGCCGGGTCGTCTAGCCCCTCAAGGCTCTACTGAATCCAGAAGGGTCTTGAAATCTCTCGGATGTTCAATGCAGGCCTGCAGCAGGTTCTTGCGATCCAACGAAGAAAGCCCTGTTGAGCAAATGGGCTTTTGAGCTTACCAGGCTCCACCAGGGACAGGTTTCTTTTGGGCTTCTGGAAGGGTGAGAATCTTTAGTTGACTCTGAACGTGTCGAGGAGGCTTCTTGGTGAGCCGGTGCTGGCGTTCGACCTGGGCGACATTTGACTTAAGATTCTGCTCGTGCTTAGGTCTTGCTGCTGAAGTTCTAAAGGCGACACACGGTCTCAAGCTATCCAACTGGCCGGTCTAGATGCAAGAGCACCTGGAGCTCATGCAGCAGTGGGTTCCTGACTCCCCTGAACCACGTTCCACGACTTTTAGGATGAAACCTGACACCGAGAAGGCGACCACACCACGGCCACAAACCCCCCAGAGTTATCTTCGTCTCAATAGTGTGCCTAAGGCCCAGGGTACTGGTGAAGGCTTTTCAGCTCGTTCCATGAAGAAAGAAAGCAGTGACTCTGTTAACGACCTTTTCAATTTGAATGGGTAAGTTGGGTAGTTGATGTTATGCTTGTAGGAAACTGCAAGCGAATTCTATAATAGTGGTATAAGTGCTGCTCGCCGATGCTTCCTTATCAGGGGTGTTGACCAGCTATCTCCTCAGCTACGAAGATCGGCTCACTACATTCCGGGCCAGTCGTTCCTTTTCTTGTCCAGTTGGTCGATACTTGGCACTTTTGGGACCTTCTCGCAACAGGCAATGCCACGAGAGAAGCCTTGGCGGTTTTGGCCTCGCCGCAGATGCAACAAAGATCGGGGCTTCCGCCCAGATCCTGTACACTGTGCACCTTCCGTGCTCCAAATCGTGCTCTCCCGCCTCGGTGCCGTGCACTGCTTGAGTCCTTCCGTGGCGCGGACAGCGTGGCCGCGGCGTGGTTCGCGAATCTCTGCGGCTCTCGATTCGCGCGCGTCCTGCATTTGCCGGTGTTGAACCGGCCCCCTTGTGCAACCAAAGTGCATAGTGTTCAGTGCCCCTTTGATTTGAGAGTTCTCATGGAGTGGTTTTGGACTTTTGAGGTATCTTGGGGTGATCTCGAAGATAGACCTGCCACAATTTCCAGAGCCCACCTGTCCATTCAGTTGGAAAAGGGGAACTCGAGTGCTTGCCAAGGATCTGCACAAGCTCCCCGCTGGATCCACCAGGGTGCTCAAGGTGACACCATGCTTGAAGGAAGGTGGTGGTTTTTGGTTTTGGAGGTAGGTACTGCAGGTGGAAAGCTTTTGCGCCTTCTCCCGTGACACGTTCTCACAGAGCAAAAAGCACAGGCGGATCTGGCCTTCACCACTTGGAGACCCGGCCGCGCAGCTGGCATCGCGTTTTGGCTTCTTGGATTTATGCATGGCAACGATGTGTGTCCGAAGGCTTCGATGGAGACCAGCCCAGGAGGCTGTTGTTTTCTTCCTATAAGTATCCTGTAGTACTATAAGCTTCGAAGAGGGCCTCGGCACCCCATGCGCGCGGCGGACTGGAGTTCGGGGAGATTTTGGGGAGCCCCCGAACCTCCCCCACCCTCTTGGCTGTAAGGTTTGACGTGGGCTTTGGCAGTGGAGGCCGGGTACTGGTGACGGCTCGAGGGTCCGACAGGGAGCTGTCGGGGGTGTAATTTGTTGCTGTCGTGTCATCCAAGGCCCTGCTTTATCATGAAACAGGAACTTGATGTCGGGTTACTCTATTTCCGGTTATCGTAGGAAAACTAGCCGAGTGATACCAGTGGTTTTCTTGTAGGCTGAAGACCTTGGGAACGCAGACGCTGATGACAGAGGCAACGTCCACTATCTGGTTCTCGTTTTGTGGAGCTCCGAGAGAGGCATATCGAGAGAAAGAGGGAGAGAGAGGGGGTGAGAGGGAGTGAGAGAGTGAAGGAACAAAAAACTCATGTTCCAGCCCTCAAGAAATGTGGTGCTGAACCTCCAGAAGAGTACCCTACAAGCACCTTAGACCCCAAACGAAATCTTCAAGAGAAGCCAAACGCAAACCAATCGCAAGACACCTTGCAGGGAAGTCGGTGATGTTGAAGACTGATCCTGGATCACCTGCCACGCATTGGCAGCAGACGGCCTCCTGGCTTTCGCAGGAAGCGGCTGGGTTGGGTGTTGTTTTGAAGGGCATTCTGCGGAAGGCGCTATCAATTCGGGAGCCGAAGGTTTGTGATTAGATTACGCTTCTCAGCAGATGTATGCTCTTGGCTCCTCTCTTCTTGGCTCGTTCATCTACCTGCAATCAAGCCGCGCATGCATCCTTCGAGAAACATAATCCTATCCCAAAGCTTGCGACGGAACGAAGGCAGCCCCGACTTATGTTCATGTTGCGCATGCTTCTTACATTCATTGAAGCTGGAAATGCTGCAACATGCAGCATCAGCACCCAACGCCCGATGACCCGAAGCACCTGACCATGCAAATGCTGAAGCTCCCAGAAACGCTGCAATTTGCAGCATCTGAAGCCAAATGCTGCACAGCAGATGCAACTTGCAGCCAGGTGGTGAATGCGGTTAGCTGCTGATGCTTGCTGTGTTCGGGGCACGCCCCCTTCAAACAACAGAAACTGACACTCCCCAAAACAAGGGGACACCTTTCAAGCCGTCACTGTCTTGCCAGAATCTTCAGAGTCTCTGGTCCTGACTCACCAAAACCTGCAGAACGCTAGACAACCTGAAAGCTGCCTGTGCAGGAACACCTTCTTTCTGAAGACCTATCTTCTTTCTTAAGCCCTGTCATGCCCAGGTTGTCTACTTGGGCGTCTTTGCCTCCGTGGAGGCCGGAGACGTTCTGGAGGCCCAGGCCAGGTCCGAAAAGGAGTGCGGATAGCCTCGAGAGCTCTGATGCTAGATGATCCATATCAGTTTGGGGGGAGAGTGTGCGGGATGCGTTGAAGCTTCCTTCGATCATTTCGAAGAAGAGGTCACCATGAAGCAGAGCGAGTCCAACCCGCGGCAGTACGACATCTCCATCGAGACTTAGTGAGGGGCGGCTGCCGGAAGTGATGTGACGTTGGGCGCTTCATTGTTTCGTGCATTGCCTTCAGTCCTTCCAAATCCTGTATCGATAGGCCCCATCTAGTAAGCCCAGACTCTATCCAGCCACGGGTTTTGTTTGTTTTGTTGTTTTCTTTTCTCGCGGCGTGCGATACAAAATCGGTCGAGGTGCTTGCTGATGGTCTTGAACTCATGAACTCAATTATTGACTTGCCTTTAGAGCCCGACAAGGCTCAGCACCTTACATTCCGAGAATACTACAAACTTTGCCACGCGACTATCTCTAGGATCGGCTTGGGTTCTTGATTGAATACCATTGGCCTTCCAAACCCGAACTCCACGGAACGCCCCTGCCAGAATCACCCCTGGAGAAAATCATGGTGTTCTTTGGTTTCTGTGGCTCGCCTGCTTAAGAAGCTGCTCCTATTCGTCCATTTCCTAAGGAGAGTCCCTAAGCTGTTTGTCTCGTCCGTGCCCAGTTCTGGCCTCCACTCGGAGCACACGACCTTTGGCGTCGGGACACGCTGCACGGCCGGAAATTCAGGCATAGCAGGACGATTAGTGATACTTCCAGGCCTGAACGTGATGAGTCGAGGCCTGTTTTTGACCAGCTAAGACATTGCATTTCTTGCAGGCCCAACCCCCTTCTTCATCTCTCAACTTTGAGCAACTTTCCATCGAGCTTTCACTTGTAGATTTGAATCTCTTCGCCGTGCGCAGAACATGCTATCCTAAACGTTGCACCAAGTTCGCACTTTATCAGAAGTCTCATTCCATGGCCTTCGCCTCTCGAACCAGAACGCTAAGGTTCGCAAGCCCTGAATCCCCAAAGAAATGGCAAGTGTGGCGGCGGTGTGTTTCGGCTCGGTTCCAGGTGTGAGCTCCTGAGGAAAAGCCTCAAACACGGAGTGCTGCCGCACCGTCCAGGGATTAGGCACCAAGCTGCGCGGAGCCTCCGAGCCTAGCAGAACCTTGGCTGCTGTTAGAGAGCTTGTTGTCTTTACGGATTTGTGCAGATGTTTGGAGTTTACGGAGCGAATAAATTTACTTGACTATATTATAGAACTTTGGAAGGCCAACAAATAGAGTCTATAGTCTTGAAAGCCCAGTATCAAAAGGTAAATCTGAGTGCCCCCACCCTATGAGATAGGCATGGCCCTCAACACGGCTCTGACTGATCCTCGTCTGCTGAGGAACGCCTAGAGCCATGGCTTCCAATGCGCTCGCACCCATCTCAAGGCTGTGGAATCCCTAAGCTAGACCCGGGAACAAGCAAAAGCAAAGAACCGTAAGCCCTTCAAGCCCGAAGCACTGTAGGCTTTGCGCGGCAGTTTGGCATGAATCCTGGAAGGCTTTAAGGGTTATAGAAGCAGGAAGGCCTTGCCAGCACTTGGCGTGCATAGTTTGCGAACGGTTTAGGAGCCTTGGATTGGAGCCCTACAATCAAGAGAAGCTGAGGAACGCTATGGCCTTGCAGCCCTGTGCCGTCCTTCTACCTGAACTCCAAAACGAACTATACCCCCCAACCCCCCCTGAGTCCCTCAAAACCCTGAGCCGCCTCAGCCAGGCTCATGGCCAGGGTATGGGGCAACACAGAGAATCATGCCATGAAAGACGCAAAGGCAGGACCTACGGGGGGCAGGGCCTTGCACGCCGTTCTTTATGGCTTCGGGAGTTGCGGGCCGGGACGCTTCGATGAAGTTTTTTTGTGAATAACGGGTTGAACGTGTGTGCGTGTGTGTGTATGTGTGTGTGGGCGGAATGAAACATCCGACAACCTTAACCCACCGTAAACCCCGAAGTCGTGTCAATCCACATTGTCTGCCACGAGGTCCCTGACAGGGCAAGGGTTTGAGAGTTCAGAGATTAAAAAAAATTGGGGTCTAAGCTTCCGATGGAAGCGTGCCCAATTTCCAGATGTCAGACGTCTTTGATGCCGACGAATCGTGGCTTTGGGGTTCAACACACATATTGGTTCGTAATGCCATCCTTTTCCCATTCATTGTTCTTGGTTTCTGTCTAGAGCATTGGGCATCTGGCAGTTTATGGACTTGACTTGATTTCACATTCATCGCGGATTCAGGATATTCAGGGACGTTCTTATTCGCGAGTCCTCTGGAAGCGATGCCAGAAGTATGGGGGGGGGGGGGATGTCTTAGTTTCAGCATGTTGTGTTGTTTCGAGCCCTGTACAAGAAGCAGTTGGATTCAGGCTATGCCCCAGCCAGAGTCGACAGAAGCCGAAGCAGTAGCCTCCTTTGGAATCAGGTGGTCAAGTTTTGTTGGTAGTCAGAAACAAATCTCAAAAGAACATTCGTAACACACGATACTCTTGGTTTGTTTGTGTTTTATCATTTTTGTTCCTGGGGTTGTTAGATTTTAAACTCAACTCTGCTCCTGCCCAACTCTAGAGTGTCCCTGGAGTGCCCAACCCCAGAGTCTTGATGGAGTGCCCAACCCCAGAGTCTCCCTCGAGTGCCCAGCCCCAGAGTCTCAACCCCAGAGTCTTTTTGGAGTGCCCAACCCAGAGTCTCCCTGGAGTGCCCAACCCCAGAGTGTGTGCGGAGTGCCAGAGTCTGCCTGAAGTGCCCAACCCCAGATTCTCCCTGAAGAGCCCAACCCAGATTGTCCCCGGAGTGCCCAGCCACAGAGTCCCTGGAGTGGTTAACCGCAGAGTATCTCTACCAAGAGAGGGTGGGGATGTTCAATAATTTAGGGTTCTGGAAGGTGGTTTGAAGTCTAGTACCCACATGAAGCTGCAGGTGGCCTTTACCAAGCCCAAGGAGGCCAAGGACCCCAAGGAGACGGCTCTTTAGCCCCACTTTGCACGCCTCTCACTCACTCAGAGGGGTTAAAACAGGGCTGGGGGTTTTTCAAATGCAGAGTAATTGCTAAGGGTAACTAGAACCGATCCTCTGATATTGGCCCGGACATAGCGGCATCGAGATGAGTTCCCAGAGCTGAGGCAGTTGTTTTGCGGATCCAGTCCGCGTTCAATAGCTTCTGACTGAACGCGGTTAATTGATGAAGCGTGCAAGTGGCGGTTACATCGGTTACATGGTTACATGTCCATGGAGGATCCTTATCTCAATGATCTCCCAGATAAAGCGACGGAAAAGACGGAGAGAGCTCCAGAGAAGGCCCCTGGCCGATGTTCGTGCAAACGATGTCAATTCTGGTAAGAGGGGCAACGAGCAGTTGGTTTCAACATGTTTGGGGAAGGGGTTCGGGCTGCTTAAGGCCATGCAGGCCAGTGTGGCGGCTTAAAGAGCCTTGACAGGGAGCTTCTGAAGAGGTTTTGATGTGGGTCGCGGCTTAGCCTCAAAACCCCCTTCCGCCCCGTCACCCCTTGGGGCAGATGAGGGCTAGGTATCTAAGGGGTACCTTTCTTTTTGGAAGTACGAAGATATGATCGTGGACAAATGCCTAGCCTGAATGTGTGATGGCAGATGCCACCACTGGTGCTTGGGCTTCACACCTGGCCGGTGCAAGAGCCGAACTTTACACGTTGATGGTTTGGCGGAATCACCGTCGATGGGGAAGGTGACTTTATACAAGCTGCTGTCCGAAACACCCTTAAGACATGGTGCAGACGGCATCAACCGAGCAGCAAACGCGCTTTGGGCCGGCCGTTTCTTGCCATCTTCTGTTCTTTTGTTCCTGTCTCTGAATATCAAAAGAATACTATACTATGGATACCAGCTTTTTGTTGCCTTGTGCGTGTTATGGGTGTCGCCTTGGTGTGGGGGGGGGGGGGGGTTCAAAAGCACAATTCAGACATACGGTCGGCTGCCTTCTATCGAGACCCGAACCTAACGCTGGCAGGCCTGTCATCAAAAGGTTGGGGGAGCCACTACAACTTTCTTGCTTGTGATGCGCAGCAGCCGATACGTTTCCAATCTCTTTTTCTACGGCTCTGTGGCTCTGATTTCGGGTCCTGCAGCAAGAAGTCTAGGCAACGCTCAGCCCAAGATTCTTCGGCAGGTCGCTCGACGTCCACGAGAAGTCCGCATCGACGCGACCACCATGGCTCCTGGGTTTTAGGTAGAACTCAAGGGTTTCACCGGGAATGAAAGAACAGCATCAGAAGAACGCCTTACTCCCGAAACTGCCCTAGAGTCCTGTGTCCTGACCAAGGTTCCGACTGATCTCTACTGGAATTTGCTCCGCGAAGGAGAGCGTGCAAAGAATGCAGGCCAACACCGCATCTCAGCAGACACAGTTGGCTTCGAGTCGAAAAAGGGTCGGGCAAGAGGACGCTGCTGAACTTGTTGCTGCAGCTTAATGCACCGCGAATTTGACAAAGCGACCATGTGCTGCACCAAACATATGACCCAGATCGTACTGAATCACCGACTTAAAAAAAAAAGCACCTGCCGGTCATTCCCCGCCCTTTGCCCAGCTAAAGGGTCTTGAGATACCTATACTTCCCAAATGCCCGATCAAGAGCCGGTAGCCTCAAAGAAGGGCTCCGGCGCGCTGAGGTTTAAAAGACAAGCGAAGCTCCAGAGGAACCTCGGCCGGTGTGTGACCCTATATAAATTATATAAACCTTGTAAAGGGGCATTAGGTACACCTACAGTAAGTTCAGGGGCTTTGGTGCGCTGTTAGGGTTTCTAGTGTCTGGCAGCCCTTGTGATGCAGAACTGATCTCCGGCATACCCGGACCACTTCACAAGGCTTTCTACGACGATAAAAGAGTAATTGGACAGACTCTCGCCTATGTAAACAAGTCTGCACACACCATCCCAAGTAACATCCCAACACATGCTGCAAGCCGTTTCTTGCGGCGCCCAGGAACCTTCTACGAGTCGCCAAAACCCCACCTCGTGAGGACGGGCTAGCTTCGACTTAAATTTGGCTCCTGGAGCCCTGGACGCGTTCCGCTGCCCTTCACACGCTTATCTCAAGGTTCAGGCGCCTTTTGCTCAGTTAGATCGGGGCACACTCACACAACAGTTCCCCAGGGACCAGGCACACAGACCTGCATAGACTGCTCGGCCAATGCAAACTTGGTTCTCGCAGTTCTCAGAGGTCCTCCAGCCTCTTTCCGGTGCTCCGGCACCGAAATGGTGGTATTGAAAGCTTACTTGCCACCTTGAAATTGGTGAGTTATACAATCCCGTACAGGAACGGTCCATTTCAGGCTCAGCTATGCCGCGCTGTCAGCCGTCAATTTGCTTTACACTTTCGCTTGAAACAGAGCCCCGGACCGTTGCCGTCGAGAATTACAGGATTTTGTACAGGTCCGAAAAGGACCCTTGCATGACGTTGCAGAGGACTGGGATCCAGCTCGAGCTGCCAAGCTGACAAAAAAAGCCGTGTCGACAAGGGAACTGGCTTCTAATAGTTGCGGCATGGACACGCTGGAATGCATCACCTGAAAAATGCCCGAAGCACCCGCGTGTTCGACCTGAACGCAATCGTCCTTTGCCCGAAGTAAAGCCTCAGAACTCGGCCATGAGTGGTCAAAAGGGGGCTTGCTGTAAAATTCGTCAATGGGCTTAGTCTGGAGGAGCCTACATAAGTTTTGTATGAGACTTGGCAAGAAGAAGCTGGGAGGTCTCTGGAGGACGTGCGCGTGAAACGGTTTGACTAGGCAGTCTAAGCACGCGAGCTTGCCGCAATCACATACAGGCTTTTGCATGCACAGAACCAACGCTTCAGAGCTGAGCAACATGTGGTCGTTAGCCAAGATGTTGCTCCACGGACCCCCAGCTCCAGATGCACTGAAGCCCTCTCATATCTCAGCCTGCCCTACCTCCCTCCAGCAACGGCTTAGCTCAGGCTTTGGCAACAAGAAGGTCATTGGACGCGGAAGGATGGGGCAAAGCATGGGCTTGACCCCTCAAACTCCCTTAACGTGATCTCAATTTTCTCAATCCAGAGCCATCAACATCGAAGCAAGGGCTTGATTTGCGTTAGTTGCGGGAGGAGTTGGATGATTTGGGAGTGCAGGTTAGACGGCCTTGACATGCAGCTCGCAGGGTTCAATCGATATCATCCAGAGACAGCATGCAGCGAGGGATTCACCAAACGGGCGCGAGTTCTACTCTCACAGCCCTCTGCAGAAGCTGAAGTGGGAGGCTGCGGGAAGAGAATGGGGGCAGGACTTGAACTTGGGCTCGTCGATGATTCATATTGTGTTGGGCTGTTGTCTGTACCTTGCTATGCTCGGAACACAGCCCACCACAGTTCTTCCAAACTGTAGAGTCTGGATCCTGGTCTGGCAGCGTAGACTCCAGCCACGTGTGATTTGCAGCCACTGGAGCTCCAGATGTCCTACACGTGCTATTGGCACTACAAAGGGCGTTTTTTCAGCCTCAGAGGCCCCGTGTCGGAAGCTCCAAGTTGCGAATCCTCAATACCTTGCTGCTGAGTAAATCTTTCAGCTACGACACACGACTCCTTTGCTTGCGACATGATGGAGCCGCAGAGCCCCCATCCCCCTCCCCCCCCTCCAACGTCAAAATTTTCCAAGTCTGTCACTCATAGGTGGGCCCACAGTGCACGCAGGGCGTCGGAGGCCGTAAGGCAGGGGGAGAGTCCAGCTTGAACGTGGGGTTAAGGGTTAAAAAGCTGAGAAAGGGGTTAGGTTTTGGTGGTCTGCAAGGACCTTGACAGGTGCAGTTGCGGTAGAGGCTCCAAGCCAAGGCTCGTGTTGACCATTTCGGCGCGCTGGGATAATGACCAGTGCACAATTCAGGCAGTTTCGGCGCGACGAATGAGGCGTATGCGCTGCGCCCTGCACGCAAGGGCACCCAACCGATCCCTCGTTACTTTATCACTCGTGCTTGGCCAGAAGCTTCCTAAAACCTTCCACGGGCCCACAGACCCGGCCTCCAGGGAATCCACGACACGACGGTCCCCAGCAAAGTCGGCCCAGGCAGGCGACTGCATGAATTTAGCTTTCAATTTTTTGTTTCCGGCGGGCGGGGGGGGGGGGGGGATTTTGCTTGGTTGAAGGGGGTTCGGAGAAAGGATACACATGTTCAGGAAGCACACTGATGCTGCAGACATAAGGCCCGAGAGGCATCTGATTGCCGAAGCAACCGACATCCTAGTGGTGTGTTGTGGATGCGAAAAGCAGAAGCACCGTGACCATCAGTTGCGAGACAGATGGACGGCCTCGAAAACCCAGGCAGCAATGTCTGCGTGAGATTCACCGATATTTTGAGAGCTTTCAGACATGCATTTCGTTGCAAGGTGAAGCGCCGAAGAAACCAGACCAGCTGACGCCTCACAGCGTCCAAATCTGCGGATGCATGCAGGCTGCAAGCGGCCATGGGATGATGCAGGCGACGCCATGCAAGAGGTGCCGGTGCTACCAAGCGGGGTCCAAGTTGAGAACCCAAAGTTGACACTGAAGTTCAACCAACAGCCAACCCGCTGCATCGGCGGTTCTTTCCGGCTCCCGACATCGATCTGTAAAACAGTGCCCGGATGCAACATCATGACATCGGATATTACCTGCTGCACGTCACCGCCTCCGAAGGCGCGGTAGCGCCACATCAAGCAGCTGATGCGTCAAGCGAAAGCCAGACTCCCTTGCCTCTGCAGATTCGCGGGCACAGCACTGTAGCAAGGTCATAGGTGCATGGCGCCGGAGCGATGCTTTAACCAGGACCGTGGATACAGTATCGCAGCATTCGTGGCCCCATGGTCCCACTGCCAGGGGGGACGGTCAAAGACCGTTTGCAGCCCATCGGTTGGGCTGTCAGATGTCGAGGATAATAAGTTGGCTGTATTGCTTGTTAATGATGCCCTGGACCCTAGATTTAGAGATCATGATCTTCTCCAGATGGCCTGCACACTTATGTCCACCTGTTAGCACGCGGAGCAATTCGAAGCAATTACGAACCAAATTGGGTTACATCTGCAGGCAGCTACAACATCGTGGCTTCTGCTGCGTCCCGGCTGTCGTGAAGGGAAGCGAAGCAATGTTTGCATTGAATGTTGAATCGTGCCCCTTGCAGACGGCAGCAGCCGAGCGGTTTCGAGGACTTAAGTTGAAGAGAAAAGGGTCTTGTTTTCAGTGGAGTGCTTCTCAGCTTGGTTCAAGGCTGGTATTGGTTGAGAATTCAGAGGAGAGACAGTCTCGATAGCGAGAAGCAGTGTGAAGCATGCACTCAGTCTTTGGTGTATACTTGGTCAAACCCCGAACGCGATCTCAATATCTCCATCACAAGGGCAGTTGCAGACGAGTACGCCGGCCATCGCAGTTGCAAACCATGGTTCATCTGAAGCTTTTGGAGCATTTGCCTACTTGGGTGTTGCTGAAGCCTGTGGCCCTGTGGCATCACCGAGGCAAAGTCGAATTCACCGCTCGACGGCCCCGAATATTGCAAGACCTCCCTGGGGAGGCAGAGTGGTGCTCAAAATCGTTCACAGTGCCGTTTAACTCGGCCCTTTGCAGTATGGAGAGAGACCCCGGCTCCCGCCTGACTTGCATTAATATTGCAGCAAGTGCCTCTAGCTGATGGTCAATACCTGGATGGAGTTCACGAACTTGTGTGGTTCTGAGGTCTGGCACAGGCTTGCAGGCGTGAGGACTTAACAGCCTTGGCCCAGTGTAACATGCCAAACCAGTTTCCCAGGCCGTTCCTCTAACACACCCTGTTAACACGCACATGGCACCTTCCCCCCTGCTGAAAAGTGCATGGGAGGAAGCTGCCCAGTACCCTGCTTCCGGTGGACATGTGCTCTCCGGGCCCCCACCACACCTACGAGGCTCGGCCTCGTAGTGTGGAAAAGGCTTCTGAAAGCGTAGGGATGTGTCAGATTCGCCTATGCTTGATGTAAGACACTCCTTATGACTAAAGATGGTCTGCTTGTTTTGCAAGGGCTGTCTGAGGCCGTCTGTCATGATCTGTTTGCCTTGGCTTGTCCAGTTTGCCAAGCTGAGAGAGAACAACAGGCTCACAGAACCCTCAGTCTGGGACCCTAAAAACCCTTCTGCTCCCAGAGCTCGGGGTTCGACCCCACATGACCCCCACCCTCCAAGATTTGAGACTCATGAGGCGCAGAAGGACGGACTGTTTTCGATGTCTTCGTCTCTTCCCTTGCAACTGTTCTGATCGCCCTGTCCATGCATCCTCCCCCTCCCTCCGCTGCCTTTTCTCCCACCAGATGATGCCTGGAGATCCTACTGGATATCCATGCACAGTCCTCCCAGATGATCCGGCACTCCACTTACCTCCATATGATCTTCGCAGTGTCGGCCAGATAAATTCTTCTTGGGCATCAAGCTGTTCGTGCTAATTACCTGCCAGGTGTGCGTGCTGATCAGCATCGCACGAGTTCGCGATCGTTTACATATCTGGAAGTTGCGCTGGTACTCACGCTTCTACTAAGCAGGTTCCAAACTCGCACAAGTAGCTTATCCAAATGCAATTATGTATAAGTTATACCACCTTACTTGTCTGCAGGTGCGAAAGCCGCTGGACAACGACATCCAGCGATTCAACAAGCCAGTGACTCATGTTCTCTCACGGCTTGCTCTGCACACGCACTTTCACGCGGTTGGCTGCTTTGCGCCATTGCGGCAGCACTGTAACCGTAACGGAGCCCCTTCAGCAACGCGATGTAGAAGGAGCGAGCCCAGGGCTTTTGCATGCATCCCTGAGTCTTTTGTAGCTTGAGTGCCTTCTAGCCTCGCAGACGCTTTTAATCCGACTCTGGGTTCGAACAAGCATGGAGGTGTTCTTTTACGAGGTTGCCGATCCAGGGCTTCTGCTCACCGCCAGTTTGGCAACTCGATGTTTCGAGGGAACTTGGAGGTTTGAGGTGTTGGAGAGGGGGGGGGTTCTTTACCCAAGTTCTTGTGCGACTCTATGGGTTTCCAGCTTTGAGGCTACAGAGGGCCTGGTTAGGTGGAAGTTCCGCGCCTATTGCCTACAGAGCGCTCAGTGTGGGTCCGTCGCGCTCTCGCAAGGTCTCGTGCGCAAATTCATGGCAAGGGCCAAGAGCGATGACAGTTCTGCACTTGCTGTACAGGAGCATGCGCACGGGACCGCGGCCGGAGAGCCATTGGCAACAACGCGAGATGCAAACGCCGAGGCAAACCCAAGACCCCCAACATGTAGAGATGCATCTTGGCCGCAGCGGCGTCTGACTCTCAGAATCTTGCGCGGTCTCGCATTGGGGTCTACGCCAGCATCGAGAGTGTGACGGCGCTCTAGGTTGGCTTTCTGGCCTCGACAAAGCCTTGGCCATATCTTAAGGGTGGACACCTCTCAAGCTCCCACTTCAACCCCAAGCTCGTTTAGCCCACAAACCCTAAACAAAAAAGCACAAAAATGCCCAAAACACTGCAAAAAAACACCCGCCCTGCACCCTCCATGCGGAGCCTGCGGTCGGCGCACAGAGCACTCTTTGCCCGGCGGCTGGTTCATCCCTGTTTGCGCTGCCAAGCTCCTTGACCCTTGTGCGATTTACGTTGCAGGGTTTATGTATATGGGGGGGACTATTGCTGATGCGTCGTGGATGTCGGCTTACATGCACACGAGCATGTGCGTATACAGATGTATATATGTATAGGATCAGAGAATCAAGAGCATAGAATATGCAGAGGAGAAGGGGTTCTAATGGGTATTTATCCGGATAGCAAAGGGAGGCTGATAGGTCATAAGGGGACATCTACTATTTCTGTGTCGACTCTTTATTTTCTGTTTAAGATTCGCTTTGCACCTTGTTCAGTCTTATTCTCCGTATAGGGTCTATGCCTCTATGCTTGAAGACCAGCGCAGCCCAGGTTTACTGCGCCTTCTCCACGGCCAAAGATGCCCGAGGAGGCGAAAGCACCGTGGCCGGCCAGTTAGCGTGCAGATGTTTCGTCAGTCTGTGCCACCCAATGACCAAAGGACCGCCCCAAGAACATGCCCAGCGCGGCTCGGCAACACGGAAAAACCGGTACGGCACTGAAGCTTCTACGATCTAACCGCCACCTTTTCGGCACACGAAGGATGAAGCTAGTCCGCTTTGAAGACGAAAGCCAACGAGGATTTCCAATTAAACCCCGTAGCTGCCGTAGCTCAGAGAAGTTCGCCTTGTGACAGTCCCGACTTGTGAGGCATTCTCGACGTCAACGACCTTTGTGCACCTTGCCTGCGTGGCTTGTGTGTATGTGTTGATGGCTCCGCCTTCTTGCTAGGGCTTCTCTGTGCTCTCCGCAACTTTTGCTGGCTTGTGTGAAGTTCAGGTTTATAGGATGGTCTTTGTAGGATTCAGTCTCGCAGCCGAAGTTTTTGCAGCTTGAGATCGCAGCCCTTCGTGAGTCGTTTCTGGAGCTCGGATCTCGCGCATCTGACTAAGTGGGAGAAATCAAGCCCGGAGCCGAAACCCGCCCTGAATGCCCCGAAGCGCTGCGAACTTTGCGATCAGGACTTCGAAGACGTCCTGAGCCCAGAGGAGCTTCATGTGTCCACCGCGGCCTGGTGGAACTTCCTTCAGGAGTCGCCCCTTGGCTTGCGGGGGTTAAGGATTTTTGATTGGAGGGCGGCTGGGGCAATTGGAGCTGTTTTGGTGTTTCTTTGGTCCTTTATGGATCTTTACATCTTCCCAGAGAGCAAACTTTAAATAAGAAAGGGTCTAAAACAATTGTACACCTTGCTTAATTTAAAAGAAACGTGCAAAAACATTAGTTAAATTGTGGTGCCTGGTGGCACATGGCTGGGATGCAGCGGCAGAGAGAGAGAGAGAGGTGGCACATGGACACCAGTACACACACAACACACACAACACCCACACACACACACACACACACACACACACTCACGCACACAACACACACAACACACACACACACACAGACAACACACACACAAAACACACACACACACAGAACAGACACAACACACACACACAACACACACAAAACAGACACAACACACACAACACACACAACACACACAACACACACAACACACACAACACACACAACACACACAACACACACAACACACACAACACACACAACACACACAACACACACAACACACACAACACACACAACACACACAACACACACAACCCACACAACACACACAACACACACACCACACACAACACACACACACACACACACACACACAACACACACACACACACACACACACACACACACACACACACAACACACACACCGCACACACACCCCACACGCAACACGCACACCACACACACACACATCACACCCACAACACACCACACACACACCACACACAGCACACACACCCGCACAACCCACACACCCACCACCAACCCACATCCACGCACGCACGCGTGCGTGCGTGCGTTCCCAACGCACCTCACATCACGCACGCACGCACGCACGCACGCACGCACGCACGCACGCACGCACGCACGCACGCACGCACGCACGCACGCACGCACGCACGCACGCACGCACGCACGCACGCACGCACGCACGCACGCACGCACGCACGCACGCACGCACGCACGCACGCACGCACGCACGCACGCACGCAAGACGCACGCACGCACGCACGCACGCACGCACGCACGCACGCACGCACGCACGCACGCACGCACGCACGCACGCACGCACGCACGCACGCACGCACGCACGCACGCACGCACGCACGCACGCACGCACGCACGCACGCACGCACTCACGCACGCACGCACGCACGCACGCACGCACGCACGCACGCACGCACGCACGCACGCACGCACGCGCGCGCACACGCCCACCGCGCACTTGCACACACGCACACGCACACACGCACCCACGCACACGCACACGCACTCACGCGCACACGCACACGCACTCACGCGCACACTCACGCGCACCAAGCCACGCACACGCACACCACGCACACCGCGCACACGCACACCGCGCACACGCACACCGCGCACACGCACACGCACACGCACACAGCGCACACGCACGGCGCACACACGCACACGCACACGCCCACCGCGCACACGCACACGCACACGCACACACGCACCCACGCACACGCACACACGCACACACGCACACACACGCACACGCGCACACGCACGCGCGCACACACACACATACACACACACACCACACACCACACCACACACCACACACCACACACCACACACCACACACCCCCAAACAAAAACACACCACACACCACACACCACACACCACACACCACACACCACACACCACACACCACACACCACACACCACACACCACCCACCACCCACCACGCACCACGCACCACGCACCACGCACCACACACCACACACCACACACCACACACCCCACACCACACACCACACACCACACGCACACCACACCACACCACACCACACGCACAGCACACCACACCACACCACAACACAACACAACACACCACAACACACCACACACAACACACACACACACACACGCACACACACACACACACACACACACACCCACACACACACACACACACACACACACACACACACACACACACACACCACAGCACCAACCACACCACACAAACAACACACACAACACACCACACGAAACACAACACAACACCACGACACACAACACACAACCACAAGCACACGCACACGCACACGCACACACACACACACACACACACACACACACACACACAACACACACACACACACACACACACACACACACACACACACACACACACACACACACACACACACACACACACACACACACACACACACACACACACACACACACACACACACACACCCACCCACCCACGCACGCACGCACGCACGCACGCACCACGCACACCCGCACACCCGCACACCCGCACACCCGCACACCCGCACACCCGCACACGCACACCCGCACACCCGCACGCGCACGCGCGCACGCGCGCACGCGCGCACGCGCATACGCGCATACGCGCGCACGCCCACACGCCCACACGCTACACACGCTACACACGCACACACGCACACACGCACACACGCACCCACGCACCCACGCACCCACGCACGCACGCACGCACGCACGCACGCACGCACACACGCACACACGCACACACGACACACGGCACACGACACACGACACACGACACGTTCTTGCAGAAGCGTTTTCATTTAAGTTAGTCCCTGCTCAAAGTAACCGTCGCCAGTTTTATTCGGTTAGGGCCTGCATGGGTTCTATCTGCCCAGGCCACCGTTTGTGGCCAAACTGGCTGAGCATGACATTCCTTTGTTCCTGCTGCAGCTCATCCTGCATTTGCCGGTTATAAGGTTGAGGATCGAGGGTTGCCTGGGACATTGCCTGCATGGTTGCCTCATCCTCGATGGATACATTACGGAATACTGCTTTGGCCTGTGCAGGGTGAGCTCGAATATACATGGGTAAACTCTTGGCCTGCATGTGCCAGAGTCTACCAAAGTCTGCCAGAGTTCTTCAACTATAGTTACCAGCTTAATCTGCGAGAGCGGTTGACCGAGGAAGCACCCCGAGGCGGCAGAGAACTTTCGCACCTTCCTGGTGCAGGACGTTCGGGTTCGACCCATACGTTCTGGATCCTCCACCACCATTGCACATGCAAAACGCTCTTTCTGGAGCCTCCTGTTTCTAGAGCGCGATGCAAGTCTGAGAGTGGAGATTGAAGCTTATGAGTCGGACTTTCATACTCGTGCTGTGTTTCTCAGCAGTAATGAGTGCTTGGCGTGTCCACGGTTCCAAGCTGCAAGAGAGACGGAGGACAACCTTGTGAGTGGGGGTAGTTTTGGCTGGCCCAGCTTCCCCAAAGCATGCCTTAGCTTGGATCCTTGTAAAGGTTTCCTGGCACGGGCCTCCCAAACCTTGGAAAGCATTGAAGCCTTTCTGCCTTAAAGCTGCGCCGTGTTCACCAAACCAAACACTGCGTCACTGAGCCTTTTAGATGGGCTTCCCGCCCAAGTCAAGCCAATGCAGGGTGCTGGCAGAGAAAAGCTTGCGGCGTTGCAGCCCCTGCTGCTGCAAGCGGCCGCCAGGAGATGTGGGCTGTGCTGCTGTGCTGTTGTGCCATGCGAAGCCTGAGATGCACAACGGCAACCTCCCCCGAAGCCTGAAGTTCGTCGCAGGAAGCCATCCTTTGCGACTGCTGACGAGGATGTACATGTGCTGACAGAGGCACCATGAATTCGGGCTTCTTGGGCTTTGAACTCAGGGTTGTGAGTCATGAGTCATGGGGTTCGGAGAAGCGTCGATTTCTTGGAAGTCTAAATGGCACGGGTAGATCTTTCTTTGCAGGTGGCCCTTTCCTTCATTGAGTCCACCTACGCCTCTCACTTGACAGCCTTCCGCCGTGCGCGATGTCTTGCGGAGCCTTCTCAAGTTCAACTTAAAGCCTGCTGCAATACATGCACAGGAGTTCCACATGTCAAGCAAAGCACGACCTGCCCAAAATCATACATCGTCCAGCCTGCACAAGGCGAACAAAAACACCGTAAAAGCCAATGGTGTGTAGCTGCAGTCATAGCTTTTCAGTTTCAAGCCGCGAAATGGGGAATCGGTTTCCATATATCCCACGATTTTGCCCGGTTGGGGACCTAGTTCCCAAACTCCTTGCGAAGACTGGCTTGTGAACCCTGGAGCCCTCCAAGCCTATAGAGAATCGAAGCTTTGAGCCCTCTCTCCCTCCGTCCTTCTCTGCATTTCGTTCGACATATGGTGCCGCCTAAACTTTACCCACCCTAAACCTTATAAACCCTAAACCCTAATATAGCCATAAGGACTTGCGAAGCCCTGAGCGCTGGTTTCCGGCTGCTCGGGGCCGGAAGCGGCGCTGGCACCTCCACCTGGGCCCCACGAACAGTGGCCGCCTGTCTCTTCCGGGTAGCGGGTCTATGTATGTGTGCACACATAGATACATCATGTGTTTTTGTTTGGCTTCCATGTACTATGTGTACCTCTATGTATATGTATGCATGCATTGACTTGAAATACTTGTTTTTTCTTATTTATGTGTTTTTATGTTCACAGCCAAAAGTTTATGTTTGAAGTATGTGTTTGCAGCAACTCGAGGCGCATGACAAGTCTTTGGTTCAGTCCTCAAATCTATAGGTTGGATTTTGAGGGCTGCTGGAAAGCCATGGCGGCAGTCGCTGGCTGTTTATAAGTTTGATTCTGGATAGGTGAAGTTTCGTCACTCCGACGGCCTGGGTTTGAATTTCTGAGCTCCCGCATTTCCTGCTCTGCGGTTCTTCGTGCTGTTAACGCATGTCCGAAATAGGCGCCGCTGCGTAGCGGCGTCTTCAAGCTCAAGGTACGGGAAAACGGGAAGTTGAGTGTGGGCACATGATACGAAGAAGGGGCCGCGCTTAGCTGTTTTCAAAGCTTTATAACTACACCGTTCGACGCCGTGCCTCTAGCACAAGCAGCCCAATAAGTACCATGCTGAAGGCCCAGCGCTATCGCAGGACGCTCACGAATCCTTCCCACCCCACTCGTAGCAAAACTTCTAAACGTGTAGTACAAAGAAAGTATTCGTTTTTGTTCGTTTCCCCAGCCGGACGTCTTTCCGCACCTCCGGAAACTCGGGTCGAGTTTCATTCGAGGGCTGGGGGCTGGGGGCGCGTTCTGGGTTGGGTGTCGAGCTCGCCTTGATATTAGAACGCTTTGGTCCCAGATGGAGTTCAGGGGAGACCTGCTTGTAATGGATCAGTGGGAGGGGATGATTGAAATTCTTGACTCTAAGTCCTCGCGTGCAACGCCTAAACTCAATGTCAAAGCAATGGGCCGATAACCCAGATGCCCCTGAAACTCCGGACCAAACAATTCCTTGTTGCCTCGAGAAAATAAGGCAAGACCCACGCAGCGCTGCAGGTGCTGTTGGCGGTCCATCCCACATGAGTGTTAGCCCATCTTGCAACCGTATCTCGTCGTATCCCTCTCTCTGTCTGTGTGTGTGTGTGCGTGCGACAACTTGACTCCTCCCGCAGCCATGAGTCATAAGGCATCCTATAAGACCCTGCTGAGCTTTGTCAGACAGGCGCTGCTGACTTCCGGAACCGGCCTCTACCTAGCACCCTTGCGGCTGCTAGCTTCAGAGGTGCGCAGAATCCAGAGGGCAGTACATGTTTCACAGGCTTATATAGATGAGCCAGAGAAGTGAATTCACCAGGGTTTGTAGTTTGGAGACGTTGGGGAGTGTTGCGGAGGAGTGGCACTTCGTTGACGCGAGGTTGGAAGCCCCACAGGATGCCTCCACTGGACGATAGAGGCCACTAGAGGAGTAGCACACAAAAAAATCTGAGGACATGCTCTAGAGTGTTTGCGGATGAAAAATGGTTGGTGCAAGTTGCGGTAGTTTCTACTTGGTCTCTTGGTGAAGTTTCAGGGCATCTAGACGCCTAAGGCCGCCTACGCCCTGCCGTGCCGAGATGCGTTTAGATCCTCAAGCCAACCAAACCAACATCCCGAGCTCAGGTCTTTCATCGCATGCGCGCGGCTGGGCTGCGGTGTGCGCTGCGCACTGGGCAGGCCAATGAGAAGAATAGCAACTTTTGGGGACTGCCGGAGCCATGCATGGAGCCATGCGTTGCATGGAGTTCTGCTGTACCGGGGGGCGGAGGCGTTGGAGCCAAAGGGGGGGGTGTATACTCGCTTCGATTCCCAGTTTCCCTGTCCTCAAACACAAGCCGCCACGTCGCACATGGACACTGAAGAGCCGGGCACGCAGAAACCAATTGATTGCGGCTGTATAGAAGGGGTGGAGGGGCCCCTGGAGGGTGGTTCAGCCTGAAGGCTGAAACTCTGTGTGACTTGTAGACCATGGAAGACGCCGAAACCATAGAGGAAACAAAGACCAAAGTCTAAAATCCCGAGCGCTGCCAGGAGAAGATCGGACCTGAGGACGCCACGCACGTTGCCTGCACTGTGGAGATGACGCCGCTGACTGGGTACGGGACATTCGTGCCGTGTGTCAAGTGTTCTGCTGATCATGATGCCTCACAAGCACACACGGTGTATGTAGCACTGCAGCGGGGCAACTGACTGTCAGCCAAGCCCATTTTTATTGAAGCCCCACTTGCTTGGTACTACTCAGACAGAGAAGAGACATAGAACAACCCAGCCAGGACTGAAGGTGCCTGGGACGTGGCCGTGTTGGACGAGATCCTTCGCCATGAGAAGTACATTCGGGGTGTAGTTCGTGAGGCTTTCGGGATTTGGCTCTGCTGAACCCCAGAACAAGCCTAAAGTTCTACTTGATGAGTGCCAAAAGACAAAAGCTGGCCTTGTTTGTTGCGGTACCCCCGAAGGATCCAACTGCTGACGGACCCTGGACGAGGCTGGGCCTGGACGCGCGCCCTCTTGGGCACCTGTGCAAAGGACAGCCGGGCCACGGGACCTGAAACGGGCATGTTGAATGGGAAGTCAATATCCTTTTTTGAGTCTCAAGGGCGGGGCTGCTGAGTCCATGAGAAATAGACTCCAGAGTGTTTGAAGTGTTTCAGGCAATTTGGGGGGCCGTTGGAAGCCGGCCATGCCGGCACTTGCATCACTTCTTCGAGTCGAGCGTTGGGCAATATACCCCGGTATATGTATGAATCTACCATGTATGATATGTATTACTATGATTCGTATGCACCATATAATAAGCATGTAGATACACATATACATGTATGTATATCTACACCAGCACACTTGTGGGCTTTAGAGCTGCAATATAAGCTTGCAAGCAGAAGGTCATCATTACCCAAGCTTCTCTCAAAGAACAACTCCTTGGATTGGTTTGAAGCAGCACGAAATCTATCCTGGCTATGTCAGAACAAGCAGAACCCCCTGGACCCGGCCCAAACGCGGACTCAAGAATTTGCGGAGCTTGTGGGCTTCGGGTTGAGACATGGGCTTTTGGCCTGGTGAGGGATCTCGTCCAAGTGGAAAAGGAGGGTGTGTGGAACCTTTCGAGGACGAATTGTGCTGGCACGCCGTTGCTAACATTGTCTCGTATGCGGTGGAGGCATGAAGGTCCTTTTTTTAGGGTTCCTTGCAGGTCACTTCCGAGTGATGCTGTATGTAGAACACTTATAGAACTGTCTAATGTCTCTTTGCTCGAACACATAATCCCTACTTGCCCAAACACTTGATTCTGAATCCCGACATGTCTGTCACAAACTACAAAGCCAAGAATTTGCAGTCAGCACACGCTGAAGCGCTGGGTGGGTGAGGACTTGCACCTCTGCGGGGCTGCGGAGCCCTCCTCGCTAGAGACGCTGCTAAAGCAGCTGCTGGGCTTACGGGGCGGGGCCTTCTTCTGTCATTTTGGAGTTTTGGGGGGGTGCCTGGTGAACACTGGTGAGCAAGAAGAAAAGCTGCTCAGTATAGCTGAAGGCTCGGAGGGCGGAGGGCGCATAGTTTTAGGGTGCTTCTGGCCTCGCCGCGCCTTCAGCATTCGCCTTCAGCATGTAGCAAAGACAAAGAAGACCAGGGTTTGAAACGACCCATCGGTTAGAGTGTAGAAGGGGTGTAATGAAATGACGAGTTCAAAGACTTTCCCGAATGCGTAGCGAAAGGTCGTTTTCAGTGGGAGTCGCGTTATTTTGTTTAGTGTCGCTGGAAAGCAACTGTAACTCTTTCTCCCAGGCTGGCTCTCTCGTGCGGAGATGCCCTGCAAAGCACCTCCGTCAAGCCGAGGAGGCTAGTACCTGGGACGCCCGCGTTTATGGAGTAGGGGGCGCGAAGTCACAAAGCGTTTGCAGGGGTTTGATGGTGGGGTCCAGCGCGAAGTCACAAAGCGTTTGCAGGGGTTTGATGGTGGGGTCCAGGCTTGCGGTTGTCTAAAATGCTTGGAGGAAAACTTCTGAACGAACTTGAGGCATTGATTGTGTAGGCTGCGCTCCGGAGTGTTACTAAGAGTAGCTGGTTCTCAGACCGTACAGGTCCAGCAGCTCATGTAGGAGGTCATCATGCCAAGTAGGAACCTGTGATGATCAGACTTGCATTGGGATAGTTGCCCGCGCAGAGCTGTCAGGATCTTGCAAGCCTAGGTGCCACTGACTGTGGAGAAGCAGCCTGTCTCTGACCTCGCACAGCTGTTGCCTGGCGACGTCCTCGTCTGCTTTGCGCGTGCGGAGGTCTTGGAGGCGAAGGCGGCGCTGGAGAAGATTGGGCCGCCCGGCCCTTCCAAGATGTCCACATCCAGTGAAACGCCACAACCCCCCCCTACCAGCCAACAAGCCTTGAGCTCGAATGGCTCTGCAAGCTGCTCATTCTTCATCGGCTCAGAGCACGCGCCCAGGCTCCGAGCCTGCTGCATCTATGGCTCCCTTCCGCCGGAGGTGCGCAGCGAGCAGGCCGGCCGGGCTTGAGATTGGTTGAGGGCTGGTTTGGGCCTTTGGGGGTGCCAGTACATGGGTTTTTTAGGTGGAGGGCATTGCAGCGGTCTTGTTTGGTGGGTTGTTGAGTTCTTTAGACCTCGAGGATAGGGATACCAGGCCGCCCTTTTCAACGATGCCAGCAGCGGCTTTGACTTGCTGGTGGCCTCCGATGCCATAGGCATGGGCCTGCAGCTCGTGTGGTCATTTTGAGGATGCGCGGTTTGTTCTTTGCTTTCCTGTATTACTTGAGTGTGACCCAGACAGAACGACTACAAAAAAGCACATGCACGAAACGGCATCCTAGGAAGGCAAACTGGAACCAAGCGATGGAAGAGTTTCGGCGCAGGAGCAACAGCCACAAAGCTCGACCAAGGAATCTTCAGATTCGACGTGTGGTCTTTCGCAGCCTCCAGAAGTTCGACGGCACTTCGGAACGACGCCTCACCGACGCGGAGCCTGTGGAGTTAGGGCATTTGAGAATTTGTTCGCCAAGAGTTAAAGTGAAGGGAGCGTGGACACTGCTACCAGTAGGACATCTGCAAGATATATCTCTAGGCATGGAATGTCCAAAAACAAACCGGTTTTGCGTGAAGGCCTCAACACCACTCTAGACAGTGCAACCTCGACTCCACCAGTGGCAGCCCCGAAGCCTAAGACCCAAGAAAGATCGCAGACTGAGCAAAAGCCCATACGAAGTTTCCTAGACTCTGGAAAAGCACCTTCATGAAGGTCTATTCAGTCCTGCAGCAACCTGGATCAAACCTTTCGAATGGGTTAAGATGGACATTGTTCCGAACTTGTTGTTAAAGCAGTCTACAAATTCCATAGAGCCTTAGCAAGAGGAGCTCCGGCAGATTGCCGGGCGGGCCGGCCGCTTCGGCGGCCGCTACAGCCGTCAGGGCCTCGTCGCCTGCTGCCTGGCGGAGGCTCCTGCCCTAAACCCTAAACCCTAGGCCCTAAACTTCTAAAAAGTGCGAGGCTTAAGATTCTTATTGGCTCAACTACTGCAGGATGTGGCCGTCGTGGAGGCTGCTCTAAAGGACCTGCAGGACGACGCTTTCAGGTTCAAGTCTTTTGGGCTTTTCCTTCGTTTGGAATCTTTGGAAGCCCCATTTTGAGTCTTCAAATGGATGGGCCGGATGGGAAACGTCGGAGATGTTGTCTCTCATTCCCTTCAAGGACGGCGAGCCTGGAGAAACGCAACGAGAGGAGCTCAGTGCGCCTGGAGAGAAGTCGGCCAGGCACGGCGCTCTCGAAGCGGAAATCAACATCCTTTGCAGGATTGCAGTGCTTAATGCGGCTTAATTGCTCAATGATTATTTGCGTGAATCCAAGCACTCGAAATCCCTTAGCATGCCTAGAAGCACCCTTTCCTGCCCGACAGCCTAAGCCCCTAAGCCTTCATGGCTTTAAGCCTTTCCTCCTTTTTGCAGGTTCAACGCTGCTGAGGCCGAGGCTCTCGCACGTGCTGCCTTGCTCCCCTTACCTGAGCAGCCACCTGCCAGACCTATCTTCAATCTTCGATCAGGAGGGCATTTGTTGAGGTTTCTGGCTGAGGGCCTCAGTCACAAAGGGTTGAGAGATGTTGAGAGCTTCACAATGCTTCATGCCACCGACGGCCTGAGCGTTTTAATTCAGTCTGCTGGAGAAGCAAGGTTGGAAGCTTTCAGCCAAACGCTGGAGAGGGACATGGGGAGACCGTTGCCCTTTGCAGACTTGGTGGAAAGATTTCTGACCATTGCAGAGGCGGGCTAGAGCGCGTTTTCGTTGTGGCTTTGGGGAGCTGGTCAATTTGTCAATTTAGGCAGGGGCTTGTTTCTAGACACGTCAGAGAGCCGATTCAAAAGACGTCTTCGAGTCTACGGCCAGACTTGATGTTCTGGAGAGCTGCCGTTCCAACAATCCCAGTTGTAAAGTCACATTGTATGCACATACACACGTGAGAACAATCTTTACATTGCCAGCCCTACAAAACACCTGCCTCGAACATCTCTGATGGAATCGATGGAGGTGTCTCCCCTCTACTTCTTGGCGCAGGCGAGAGCTTGCTAAGGGGGGTTGAAACTCAAACTTGAGAATGCAGATGTAAACCCAACATCCTCAGTTAAACGCTGTGCTTAAACGCTTGCTCTGAGAAGCTGAAGGCCAAATCGGTTTTGGAACTGGCTCGGTTTCTGTCGGACGTGCGGCTTCGGCCGGGTGCAGCTCAGCAAACCTTGAGATTTGCGAGCTGATCGGTTTGGGTGGATTGGCTTTGCAGGTTTGGAGGAAAGATGGGGTCAAGGGGGTGGGGGGGGGGGGGGGGGGCAAAATTCTAATTTGCAAGGCCTGACGTGAAAACTGTTCAGCCTGTTGTTGTTTTCATGCAGAGCCTGCTCAGGCGACCCTTTGTGCACATAAGCATGAACTTCAGGACCAGGTTCCATGAGATGTCACATAGTAGAGCTCCATAAGATGTTGGGTGACTGTGGCTTACAAGGACAAGTTTGTCTTCTGCCAAGCCCCAGTTGGCTCCGGGGACGTGGCGGCGCTCGTGGCACTTCACGGCTTTCTCCAGAGCTTTGTGAAAGGCAGTGTCGCATTCCCTCCGGTTGAGATTGAGACCTGGCAATTCTTCAACTATGTTGATTTCGGTGAGAAACAAGTTGTTGCGTGATGTGCGGGTGCCGACTCAGGAAGACCTGGAGGAGGTGACCACTCAGAAGATTTTGGAGCTCGAAGGCTTGCACAAAGTTTGCGAGGCCTACCTGTGGCTGGCGATGCGATTTCCGGCCTCCTTCCCAGATGCGGGGGGCTGATCAAAGTGTGGAGATTGATGCTGATGACTCAAGATCGTGCTATGTTTCTGGTTGATTGTTGAGGTTGTGGGGGGAGGGGCCGCTGCTCTGGGTGAGGGTCCCTTTGTAACTGCTGGTACAGAATGAGACGCGCTCAAAATCACCTTGCTTTTTCAGTTGCAGCAAAACGTCGAGGTTCCATAGGCAGCGAGCCAGAATGAGAGGTTTATCTGACACGATAGGACAAAAGTGCGGTAGGTGAAAATCATGAGAAAACGATGGGGGACGTGCTAGTTCAACAACAAGCAGGCTTGAACAAGAAGTAATTGTAAACGCGTGCGCGCCCCTCGGCAGTCGCGCTGGCCCAGAGCAGGATGCAGTATGTGGAGACGAGTGGGCGCCTCACAGGCAGGGAGGGGGCACCAAAATCGGTGAGGGGAAGGGTTGGGAACGGGGGTAAGGGGACCGCGCATCTTGGTCTGCTTGTTCTAGGCGCCTCTCGGCAGGAAGCCGAGGCGAATTTTGACGGCGCGGCTCTGGCTACGAGACTCGGGTGTGCGTGTGTTGCTGAAGCCTTGCGGGCCTGAAGCTTTCCTGCTTGAGTTTTCACAGCCAGGTGAAGGAAAAAGGGCCTCAGACTGCAGTTGACCTTTTTTTTGGGAAAAGGAACTGCAGTTGACCATGTTTTTCACAAAGGACCCCACCGAGAACAACTTGTGATGAAAGTGGGTGACCCCAACAGACAGAGTTCGCCGAATAGTTGTGGGAAACTTGTGACTATAGCGGCTCGGTACGTAAAAGCGGGTGCAACGTTAGCCAATAGTACTGGGAGGTCTCTGTCAGCCCCTGAAGGTGGACACCGCCGTCGCAACACGCTTGGACGTGGCAGGGAGGATCTGTGCTCAAGCCAAGCATCACAACCCCGAAGACCCTTATAGCCATGACCCCCCATCTCGTTGATGCCCTGAAACGCGTTTCAAATCTTCTCCCCTATAAGCCCTGTGGCCCTCAGGATCTCGCGAGCGCTGAGCCTCCCGTTGCGAGCAGGGGCGATGGAGGGCCACCTCGAGGGCCACCTCTTCGGACCCTCCGAAAAAAAAAAGAAGCTGCGCGCTGGCCCCCCCTTGCTTGAAAGTGCCTTCCCAAAAAAGCCCCCTAGAAAACAACACACGTGAGTTGATTCTGAGAAGGCCATGGATGGCACATGGGTCTCGCCACCCCATCGCCGAGGATCGGGATGGGCTCGGGGCTAAGTGAGGACTCTTTTGGACTTAGACATCCTGGAGAACAGAAGGTTTACGTGTCAATGAAAGGTTAAGAAGCCCATGCCTGCTGTCAGTATGGCCAACCTTCAGAAAGAAAGCTATTGGGATTTGCAGTGGCTGAATGACCTTGGGGCTCTGCCTCGTTGCCCCTGCCTTTCAACACTCCTACTGTATTCGCTGCACCCAGACCTGCCTGCACTTGCATGAACCTCGCCCCCCCCCCCCCCCCCCCCCCCCCCTCGCACATGTAGCTGCGATTTCTGGCGGCAATTGCATTGGACTGCGGCAAGTGAGCTTTGAAAATCAACAGAGAGCGTACCGAGGCCTGGACTGGCCTACAACAACAGCGATGCCAAGGGCATCCAGAGGAGCACCCAATAGAGAGCAACAAAGCTCCAAACCATGATTTTGGGGAGTTTGCGGTTTTGTTTTCCACTTGGTGTTTCTGGGTTGCCGCTATACTGGTGTTTGGGTAGAGGGGGGCCACAAGGCTTCGCCGAGCTTGCTGCGCAGAGTCGTCCCAGTTGAGTTTAGGGAAGCTTTTCTATTGAAGTTTCCATACGGGCGCTGAACCAGGAACCCAAAAATTGGGGGCCGGGTCCAAAGGATCCCCTGTACTTGTTACGACATTACGGCCTTCACGCCCCCCTCTTGCCCCCCCCAACGACGATTTCGAACATCACCACAAGGTGTTTTCAAACAGTGCCTGTAAAGAAAGACTTCTAGCACCCTTTTCGTTTCATAAGCCTCTATAGACTGACGCCGTGCGCCCTCGCATCCAGGAGCACTTCCATGGGCTTTGCTGGAGGAACCAAGCGCTGCGCCGGGGAGCCCAGGTTTCGATGTCCCTTCGGGCTTAGGAACAGATAGGGCCAATTGAGGTCTATGGGGTTTGAGGAGTTTATAACGCTTAGGTAAGGATGACCCCACCTCACTCCCAGGGCTCGGTGGTGGCACGTCCTGCGCCGACTTGTCGGCTGAAGTTGTGAAAAGACCCATTGATTGGGGGGAATTAATTCTTTGCTCCCCTGCCGCAGTGAAGACATCACGGGTCACCACTCAAGTCATTCCCGTAGCAACCTGACGGCTCCCGTAAGGCTCTTTCGAGGCATTGCCCAGCCAGTATACAGTCACGCGTGTGTTCGACTCAGTGTTTCTCCCTCTTCCTCTTCCACTCCCTCTGTCTTTCTCTGTGTGTGTGTCCATTCGATCGAAGCCTAAGAAGATGTGATATACGCAATGCTTAAACACAACGCCGAGGTGAAATGCACCTTCGGCATGGCCGACCGCTTCCGTGCGGGGCGACAGACCTCGAGCCCGGTGGGCGACATGTGCGCGGCCCTATTAGGAGTTGAAGAATTGGGCCAACTTATGAGAACGTTTACCCCTTGTTGATCATTTAGTTATTGCTCTTTGGGTGCGATTCGGGTTTGTCCTCCTTGCGCATGACGGGAAAGATGTGTCGGTGGAGAGGACAAATTTCATGGCTCCATATAAGTGTCCATGTGACTATGCAGGTACTACGCTCATTCCAAGCTTCTGGGCGCCGAGGACACTAGCATGTGCTTTTCCTCCGTCGTTTCGCTATGCGCTTTAATTAGTACTCAATCGCCACGACGCTTGATAAGCAAAACGTCTGTGGAGCCTTCCGGTAGCCGCGGTAGCCTGTCCTATCATCAGCCTCTGGTAGAGAATGGCTAACTTTTGAAGGCGGCACTGGAGAATGCACGGGAAGCCGCCTTCTCTTCGATATCGTTAAGGAATTTGGCTGCGTCGGGGTTGCATTCAAAAGCTCGGTGGAGGACTACATGTCCGCGAACAGGGCCTGCACATTCGGTGCAGGCAAGTGGGCACTGAAAGAAGCATTGGTCATGGGGAACGACTGTAATGAGAGAGATACTCAGGTGCTTTATCACGTAGCAGACGTCGCGTGGCAATGGATCTGTGTTTGGCATCGCATTGTACGGAGACGACGGTGCATGAGCCGCCAGGCAACAAGACAGATTTCTCGAATATTTACAAAGGCCTGGGACTCAGCGATCAAAGGACTCGCCATTTGGTCAAAGCTGCGCCAGGCATCCGGCTCTTAGTCCGATTCTGCCAGATACATGCAGGGGTCAAGGGCAGGGTTTCGCGGCTTAGCGCTGAGATGTTAAATTTTGTTCCGGAGTTGCACGGAAAACATTGCATCTAGTGACTACTTTTTCAGCATGAGCCTTTGACGTGGAATGGTGACCAAGGCCATCGAACTGATGTTTCGCCAGTGACTTACAGGTCCGATGGGCTGCTCTTCCTCTGGTTCATTGGAACACGCATGCCCCCCTGCTCTGCTCTCAAATGCACTTCCAAAGCCACCCCCCCTCCCCACACTCCAAACACCCGTTGGCAACGGCAGCAGGCAGGTTTATCGGGCAACTCCAAAGAATACCCTGACTGCCACCAAATGAGATAAATGTAAACTGCATCTTGGCTTCAGGGGATGTTTTTGAGGTTCTGGGGCTTGACTTTATTTCAGATGCCGGCATATAAGGAAGCAAGAGCCTTTACTCGTCGTGGCCGCAGGCCAGTGGACAGCACGGCGAAGAAGACGCCGCCCTGCTGCGCTGAGTTCGGTGTCTGTGTTATTGTCTGTTTTCTGGAAGACGCACTTTTGCACCAGAGCGCCCCCAGAAAAGCAAGCCCTGAAGCCCTTGGTAAGCTTTTGGCCCCAGCTTCGTGACTTTCTCGCCCAGACGCGTTCATATCCCTGTGCCGTATACCATGCGGACCTTATTCGGGCTGGTGCTACTGGTGGGGACCGCAAATTGGGCGTACACGCAGGAGCTATTTCAAGAGGGGTGCTTGGATGGCACGTGCCATCAAGTGGATTCGGATGCAGAAGACATACGTCGCTCGCCTGGGCCAGGGGTGGGAGGGGCACCAGCGCAGTGCCAAAGTGGAAGCGGGGATTGCGTTGAACTGCTCCAGCGCCGCATGTCCACCTTCCACAGCCCCCGGCACAACACAAGCCTGGCATCGACATTTGCTGGAACTCCCGGCACCGTCGCGGAGGTCTACACCTTCGGCGCACCGGCCGTCTCACGCCCAGCAATGCCAGACAACACGCAAAAGGACAAGTGCTTCCGCGGCCTCCGTACCTTCACAGAGAACAAGCTTCCCGGAGGAGGACGGCAGACCGACGCGGCCTCGATGTTTGATGCATACGCTCACGCGATTATCTCCACCCTGGCATTGGATTGGGGGCAAGACTCCTACTACAAAGCTTGCCCTGGAGAAGTGAGCTGGCCGAAAGGCGGTGCAGCAGACTGGGGCCTCCACGGAGAGACGCACTACGCCCCAAGGCTGAAGGAGGTCACCATCGAGGGCAAGAAGGTGGCGACCCAGGAGCCCTTTGCCATGGCGAACAAGATGGTCACCTTGGCATACAAGAGCTACGACACCATCGCCAACACCAAGAAGGAGATAGCAGAGAAGCTCCCAGACTGGCGCCTGGTCGATCGTCATGTTTTCGAGTGGACGAGTGGAGCCTATGACGACGACCCCATCCTAATCGCTCAAAACAAAAAGAACCTAGACTGTGCCCTCGTCTTCACGGGCACCAACACGATGGGTGAGTTGGGCTCCTCTGTGAAGCAGCACCTCACCGGCTATTGCGGCTTCGACCAGGTCCATGCTGGCTACCGTGACGAGGTCTGGCAGCTGTCTGACCATGCAATCTGGAAAAAGGTTACGGAGAAACTGGCCAAGTGCCAACGCGTCCTTTGTGTGGGCCATTCTCTGGGAGGGGCCATGTGTGACGTATTCTCCGGCTGTATCAACAGCGGCCATACAAACGACCCGGACTACAAGAAGCTCATGTGGTATCGAGGAACCCCGCAACTCATGCCGGAGATTGGCAGCGCGGAGGAGGAAGCTTCCTTAGGTGCCGGTCCAGGTGGGCATGGAATGGGAAAGATCCAGGCTCTGTACACCTACGGCAGTCCTGCCGTGGCAGATCCACCCCTGAAGGACTCAAAGTCTGCCAACGGCTGCTTCAATGGATTAAGGATCTACTCGGAGAACGATCTCGCTGGTGGCGGCAAGCAGGTCGATGCATACACGTTCCACGACAACTACTTTCCCCATCCGAAAATGAATGTCTTGTCGCTCCAGTGGAACAAGAAGTCTCATTTCGATACCTGCTCCAATAAGGATTCGGACAGTGTGCGGTGGCCACATCACAATGGGCTCGCGTACAGTGATTGGTCCCAGCACACTGTGCAAGGGTACTGGGACCGCTTGGAACAGCTCGCCCAGAAGGTCCCGAACGACGCCAAGAAGCTCCCGAACAACCAGCTCTTAGAAGAGGCCAAGAAGTTCGTGCACTTCGCATGGAGCGCCGAACTTCCGAAGCAGGTGGTCCTATCAAACCTGAAGCAGTACATGCCCGGTTGGAAACTAGTGGCCCGCGAGCCCCTGAAGGATGAGAAGGAGCCGGTTCTCCTTGCGCAGGACTCGAAGACCTTTGACTGCGCTCTGGTCATGCCTGGAAACGGGGCAGTCACGTCAAAGACCTATGGCACCGAGTTTTGCGGCCTGAAGAATGTCCACCACGGCTATCGCAACTACTTTGTGGAGAGCGTCCAGACACCGAATTGGCACAAGGTCGCGGAATTGCTGCCAAAGTGCAGGAATGTCATGTGCCTTGGCCATTCTCGCGGCGGATCGATGTGCGAACTCCTTGCTGCTTGCATCAACGATGGCAAGATCGATGACCAAGACTACCGGCGCATCATGTGGACAGACGAACCACCAGCCGCGCTCCCTGCGATCTCCTGAGAGAAGTGAGGGAAGCAAAGATGCACGGCTCAGGGGCGCACAGTGCAACCCTAAAATGTCCTAAAACGAAAGCTACTGCGTGTGTGTGGGAGAATTGCCCAACAGTGCGACTACTGTAGGCTTCAAAAATAGCTACCAGGTCAAAAGGTCAGAAGTACACATTTCCGTAGTAAGCCTTGTTCTGCCTGGTTCTCTAGGCCGCTGTGAGGCCCCGTTGTTATCCGAATTTAGGTTCAGGAACCGTCCCTGCTCAGTCGTTGCAAACATTGCAGCAGCTGATGAGTCAGGGCTTGTTCCGGTCCCTTCTGAGAAAAAAAGGGGGAGCGGTGTAACCAACAGCTTGCGACAGAAAAGAGGGTCTGCTCGAGACTCATCGTCCATAGCAGGACACAGCGTCCTTTTTTCCAAGCAGATCCCAGAGTTCCTGAAAAGCTGAACAGTGAGCAAGCGAGGTCTGCCTTTGACGGTCTGGTCGATCGTTTGGCGCGCCGGCCTCGACTCGGGATTCTCCAAGACGGTCGGATGCATTCAGGGTGCGTTGGGTTTTGAATCTTGAATCCAGAGTCGGGGTTAAAAACGGGCTTCAGGCTCAGTGTTGATTGGCTGTAGGTTGCAAACACTCGCAAACTCCTGACCAGGCAGCATGTTTGTTTTTTTTTTGCAGGCCTGGGCAGCGCACACGCTTGAATGGCTAGCCCACACCCCACAAACTCTGACAAGTTGTAGATGACTGCCAGTTCTCGCTGTCGCTGGACTCGCTTACGGAAGCAGTCGGCTGTGAAAGCCTTGTCCTTATTCACACCCAGGGTTCCGAGCCTGAGCCTGATTTTCCACTGGGCTCCGATCCCTAGACCGCCTAGACCTTCCGCACCCGGAACCCTTGACTAACCCTTGGCTAACTCTCAATTTGCAGGCTTGCAGCAAGACATAGCAAGACTTGCCTGAGTCGTCAGACTACAGCAAGCATACCGAACACCACATGATGGCCGACTGGCGCCATGGGCTCCGAGTACCTGGTGAACGTGTCAGCACCGTGGGCGCAACGTGAGGGAGTTTACGGGTCAGTCAGGTTGATTTTGTGCAAGGTTTGGGTTCTGCCTCTTTGAATTCAAGTAACGGCACAGGTACTTGGTCCCGCGACTCACGACAACACACCAAAGCAAGTCGATCGATGATCCGCGGGTCTCAGAACGTCTCAGATTCTGAGGTATTCGCCGTCGCGGGCGCCTGGACTGCACATCTCCAGCTTTGGAGCCCACTTTCCCAACGCAATTTTATCCTGAAGCCCGCTGCTGTAAGACTCTGTCTGGACCTTCGGCGTCTAAGACTCGTCAGCATCAGCACCCCACCCTATAACAGCAGCAGAAAAACAGAAGCCTCTACAGTGATGTACTAGCCGGACCTACCGTCTCAAAATATGAGTTGTCCTTGAAATGATCACAAAGGGAGTTGAACATAAAGAACGACAGCGCAGCTGTGGCTTCAAGCAGAGGTCTGAAAGCACCGGGCGATGGCGCCGGGATGCCGAACCCCTTTGTCACAGTCCCCTGTGAGCACATACACAGAGGTTGAGGGTTTGGGGCTCATGGGGTTGGGGATGCGCAAACCCCCCGCGACCCACCCCCCCCCACTTCCCCCCACAAAACATCATCTCTTTGATAGCTTCGTGAAGTGCTTCTCTTTTTTTGTTTGATGCGAGGCGCTTGTGGTTCTTCAGTCAAAGCCTCTACAAGAACTCATGCAAGCTCTGAATGCGCAATCACATGAGCCCTTCAAGGGTTACTTCTTGAAGGCTTTAAGGGTCTTCACTTTCTGAGAATTTGACTATGGAGGCTTGGGCATTTCCGGCTTTGTGCTCCTGTCTTATACGCCGATTCCGGTTGTTGAGAGGAAGGCATGTGGTACAACCTGCCTTGTGGTGCAGGGCTATATGCTTGTGCGGCACAGATCCACGCTGGACTCGCTAGACCCGAACAACCACCAGGAACCGAAGGTCTTTGGGTCTTTGGGTCTCTTAGATATCCCCAGCCTGACCATAAACAAAGTGAAGGCATTTGCGGCTACACCCTTGCGTAATACTCGTATTCATTCGCAGGCACTTTGCTATACATGCTACGCCATGCGCTACATGAGGCCGCGGAAGTATTGAACTTTTCTCAACCCTAGCTGCTGCCCTATAGCTCCCAGTGTCCTGAGTGGATTGCCATGTCCAAGGTCGAGGTGCTTGGTGAGAAGCGCTCCACACAGGCTTGGACTGTACATAGCGGGAAAGTGGGTCGGCCTCGGGTCACTCGAGGCTTCCATGGAATTTGAGATCAGGAAATAGCAGGGGACACCGTTATAGTGAGGGATAGGGCATGTGGGCGCTGGTGAGGTCATCAGCGGCGCTTCAGCCTGTACCTTCAACAACTTTTACTGCAGCCTGGTCCAGAGAGAGACAAGGTGTTTCCGTTTCATGCATCTTCGTTGCTGTGACACATGTTGGTCAAAACTCAGGCTTCTCCAAACACACGAGCGAAGACGACTTCACTGGCGGAGATGCCGTCGTCGTTGTGTACCACAAGAAGAAGCTCGTTGACCAACACTCTCACTCTCTGCGTCTGTGCCTGCGTGCATGCTGTGTCTGTGACTGCGCCTGTGCGTCTCTGTGCGTCTCTGTGTGTGTGTGTGCGCGTTTTGGGAGTTGCTCCGGGATTGATCTGCGACCCAGACCTCCATGAAGCAAACGTGATCAGCTTTAGAAGCTCTGCCTTCCACATCCTGCCTTGTCAGCATGAAGCCCTGTTAACAAACCGAGAGGCCATGTAGAATGGCTCACAGAGACTCAGACTTCGGGAATGTTCGGGGTGCAGGTTAAGATAGGTTGGGGTCCTTTTGTGCCCGCTAAAGCCCAGGAACAGCTTCGGCTTCACCGACAAGCTGGGCCAAGTCACGTTTAGCCTGGAGAAAGTGTAACCCGGAGACGGAGAGTCTGCCATTGGATTTGAAGAAGGACTTTCTGTTGAGACCGGTTGTTCGAAGATAACAGGGTTGAGATGTGGGCCTTGGCTGAAGCAGCGTGTCTGATCTGCAGAAATTCCGGTGTTCTTCAGATTCCGGAAGACACTCTGCCACCATCCTGCTGAGCTTCAGGCTTCGCCCCCCCCCCCCCCCCACCTCAAAACAAAAAACTTCGGGCACATGGCGCAAGGCTCGCAACGCCCACAACCCCGAACCCAAACAAACACAAGAGTCCCAGATGACCTTTTTGCCTCACAGCAAGGTACAATCAGGACGGGCATCTGGTGCCAAAAGATTGGTTCGTGATCGTTCTGCCAGACGATCCAGGACCGAGTCGGACCGAGAATGCGGTTGTCGTGTCATGCTTCGTGGATTGTCGTCTGGTGGGCAAGCTGGTTCTGCGGTACGTGGTGGTTTCTGATACAAGGCTGCCTCTCCGTAATGAGGCAACGGTTCCCGAAAGCAACTCGCACAAGCCTCGACAGGCAAAGGATGTGGCTATGTGGAGCTGTGCATTGGTGCTTATGCACCAGGTCCGCGACCGCTGTGACCGCTGTCTGTAATGTGTTGATGCTATGATTTGGAGCCCACTTATGCCGACCCCCTCGTTCTGAACCCAGACTCAGCTTTGATCCTTGTGAATCAAGGGCTTAAGGTTCAAGGCTTTGAGTTCCTTAGAAAGTTTATGCAACGGGAGTGGAACTCTTTGGACCGAGAATTCGTCAAAGGCTTGTGAAAGCCACCATTGCTTCAATTGTTGAAAAAGAGGAACCCCTGCGCCTGCGCCAGGTGACATCGTCCCGCAGAGCCTGTCAGGCGCCGGGTGGTTTAAAAAGCACAGAAAATCGGGTCCCACGGCGGGCCGACGTATCCTTCCTCCCAATAGAAAGCACTCCCAGCAATGTTGCAGCCCCGCCTTTTTTGTGTGTCTGTGTGTCTCCCGGGAGGCTTGACAGCGTGAGTCCGACAAATTGTATCCCAACTCCCCGAAGCGCAAACCCTCACACTGGGCCATCCGGAAGATCGGTTCATACCGATTCAAAGATGTCAACTGCGCTGCCTGAGGTGGTGCAGACTTGGATGAGAGCGCTGAGCTCCAATCCATCAAGACTCGTGTAGTGAAGCGCCTGGGAGACAATTTGCTACTGTATGGGGTCTGGGAATTTGGGGGCGCTGCAAGTTTGCGGCCTTCAGCATTGATTTTGAAGCGTGCCCCGCCAGGGTTTGTGAAGGCTAGTTGCGGTTGGTTGAGGGTGACTGAGCCTATGGGGAGCTGCGTGGAGTCTGTGGTAACTTGAAGAGGCCTCTACACGTTTTGAGCTTTTGCGCTCTCCCCTCAAAGCCCGGAAGCCCGCCCTTTCCGCCGCTGCCACGTGCGGCTGCCAGTGCGGAAGTGTAGTGCGCGCAACGCCCCGTCGAACCCCTGATGCTTGGATTGCAGGGTGTGAGATGTGCGTTCGACAAGTTCAGGCTTCTGTATAGTTGGTTTTCAGGATCTTTCGGGCCTTCCTTGCGCGTTGGTTGGAATGTGGATTGGTTGCTCTGTTTCCTTGCGGAAACGGGCCTGCAGGGCGTGCAGAGGGTTTGCACAGGAAACAGCATGGCCTAATTATTGCTCAGGCCCCACTTCACCAGCCAACTTCATGAGGACCCAATTGGGGATTTGGACATAAGGCCTTTCAAATTTATAATAGGTCTTTGATCGAAGAGATGAAAATGGCAGATGCAATCCGACCAGAAGGGCGATTTGCTAACCCGCGGCATGGAACTCAGGGCAATACTTCTACAGATATCCTGCTTTACGCACCCCCACCCTCAATTCTATGCCTTCAAACCCATGAGACACAAAGGCAAAAAAAAGAGCCGCAACCATGGCCCGCCGCAGCAACTCCATCCTGGCCGCCTGGCAATCTCCCACAACCCAAAAAGCTCTGCTTTGGCCTTCTTGTGGTTCCAGGCTTGGTTGTTCTTTGCTGGGTTGCTGGTTGTCGTCGATCGTCGGCACGTCACGGATTTCAGATTGTCTGCGAATGCTCTCATTAGATATCCTTCGCCTCCGTAGCCTTCAGCTGGTGCCAAGAGGGACTTTTTTTGAAAAAAGAAAGTTATACCCTAAACCCTAAACCCTAAAAAGGTTGCTCTGATTGTCGGCGCGGTGGCGCTGTGGGGCTTCACAGCCTTCGTGGCGCCCGAGCCGTCGCGAGCGGAGCCACAGCAGCAGCTGCGCCCCTTGGCTCCGGAGATTTCAGGATGCTTCACAAGCATGTGTGTACGTATGTCTGAATGAATATATATATATATGTATATATGTATATATACAGATATATATATATATATGTATATGTATGTATATATATATATACATATGCACGTATGTATGCTTGTGCATTTATAAGACCGTATGTATATATATATATATATATATATATTATGGTTGTATAAGTACAATTCAGTATAAGTATCAGAATGCACAAGTATAAGGTCA